GTTAGCCTGTGAGCGTAAGTCATAGCATGTAACCCATCTGTACAAATACACTGCATGACGTTTGGTTTCACAAGAGGCAAGTCATTATACATGCGAAGGATTTTAAGATGTTGGTTTAAAAGGCGTACTAAAGACTGTGAGGATTGCGACAGCACATGCATGGGATTGATTACGGCCACGTTGGCACCAGTTTTAACAACCCTGAGCTGCATGGCATAATCAAATAACTTATTTCTCTTCACATTAAACATTAGTTCAAATGTTGCAGAATGTGAATATCAATGATAGCGAAGTGGACAGCTCTAACCTTGAAAGCACAACGAAAGATTCGTCTGAGAAATAGATCGAGTGTTAATAACTTCTCGCCAAAGGTTTCAGTTGGTGTATTATTGATGGCACAATCTGGTTTGCGAGGGGAAAAGGCCGTGTTTGGGATATTATGTCTGGTGACACTACAAACTCGGTTGCGGGAGAAAAATAATTAACAATATTGAGGTGACAGGTCTTGTGGCCTGTTGCGTGCGTCGCCACTGCGGTTCGGCCGAGAACCCCCTACTTTTCGGGCAAGGTTTGTAGCTTGACGCAATTAAAAGTTACGCTTCCAAAACAGCGATAATAACAAAAGAATTCTCAGCCATCACACAGCCTTGTATTCCTGGAATATAGAGATGGGGCAATGGCAATGTCGACGATTCCGAGTAAGTTCTTGAGCTCGGCAGCTACTTCTCGCAACCTGATCTTGCAGATAGTCTAGTGCTGCTTTCAGGCGACGAGGTTGACCCTGATGACGTCGGGTTGAGATTGTCAATGTTCGATGACTTGAGCTACAAGATATGCCAGATAAGTGAGCGGTGTGGCGATCACAAAGCTGGGAATCACTTGTGCGTTTTCCGTTAGTTTTAAAGTAGTGGGCAATGCACAAAGAATAGTAATTTCTCACGGGATAAAAGCAAGTGCTTGACATATCCCGTTGGATGGTTGGGGTGAGTACAATGAAGTCGAAATGTGTGTGAGTCATCTATCGAGCGTCTACCGAGATAAATGCGTTGATACATAGTGTAAGTGTAAAATAAAAATCGCATGCAAGTAGACAGCACTACGAAGTGCACGGATCATTGCTTTAAAGCTTGAAACTTTAAAATGTGCTCGCTCACTTGAGTGCCGCCTCCTTGGGTCCATGTGACCCATAAATTCTGTAGAACGGGCATGATTAACGTAATCCAAAATGGGGTGGATTATGTACTTAAGTGCTGGGAGCTAAGAGCAACATCCAATCTTTTTTTGAATATGTCAAAAGTAGGGGAGGACATAACTGACTATGGGAGTACTTTCCAGGGTAGTTCAACTCAAAGGGGATGTAATTTCGTCGGCACTCTAGACGGTTATATTGGTCCCTCAATTTTAAGCACCTACCCCTGAGATGCGTGTTGTAGCTAAGTTTCATCAAATGGCGTCATACGTGCTTGGGGTCACTCAATATTTAGCATGTTATATGAGATCGTCTCGCAGCCTTCGGTGGCATCCGCTGAAAACTCCCAGCCCCTTCATCTTTCGGTGGCAAGGGTGATAGCGCAGACCCATTACATCCTCTGTTGCTCTTTGTTGATGTGCCTCTAATGCCTCTAGGTCAAGCTTCAATCAAGGTTGCAAAGCTTGTATAGTGTAATCAAAGTGAGGGTGTACGTAAGAATTGTCCGTCATTGAGGAGATTGATAGGCCAAATCTCCCCAATGCGCTTCGCAGCATGCCGACGTGCTGGTTTCCTCTTCTCGCAGCTACCTCATTTTGTTTTGGACAGGCAGTGGTCAATTTGTACGAGCACAGCAAGAGTGCTTTCCTGGAAGCTGGACTGCAATCCTTGTGCCCATGCAAATACATGTAGTTATGTCTATGGCATAATTGCACAACGCGACGTTTCTACGTTGAATGCTATGGCGTTCTGAACTGCCAATTTTCAAATTGTGTTAAGATCGCACTAGAGCCCTTTCCGGTCGTCCGATCCTCTTATCATTCGCCAAATCTTGACGTCATCCGCGAAAAATAGGAAATCGGTAGCAATTGAGCTTTCTAAATAGTTTATTAACATCAAGAATAGAAGAGGCCCAAGCACCGAGCCTTGCGGTACACAACACTCCACATCAATTTCATCGAACAGAGATTCCCGGACTCACATCTCCAACGGAGGTTCATGTAGCAAATTGCTTATCCAGCTCAAGATTTGGTCGCTACTACCGTAGTTATGAAGCTTGTGAAGGAGAATTCGGTAGTCTAAGCGATCAACAGCTTTTAAGAAGTCTAGGTGGATGAAATCAGCCCCTAAGCCATCTAAAAGACTTCAGTCCGGCTATTATGTGCAATGAGTAGGTTAGTGGTGCACGAATGCCTTTGACGGAAGCTATGTTGCTGTGCGGTTATCAAGTTATGGCTTTCGAGATATTGCATCAGCGCATCTGCGTGGATTAATTCCTTAATTTTGGATAGTACAACTAGTAGTGTTATTGGACGGTAATTACTAGGGTCAGTTTGCCTACCTCCTTCTATGAATAGGAGTGCTGATTCTTCGCTTCTATACTAGTGGGTTAGTTGTCTGCTGGAAAGTTTGGGAGTACTGAGGCTGTAGGAGATCGATTGCTTTCATTGCTGACCGCGTGCTTCCGTCAGCCGTGACCAGTGCTAAAGTTCCGCGCTTCACCTTACGAAGGCCATTAACGTGCCTGTACAGACTTTTGCTTGTCGTACAGACTGGCTTCTTAAACCCGTGCTGATGCGTAACCATGTCCTCGTGGATCAATTTCACACAAAGTTACGATGTGCCATGCATGCATTCAAGGTTTCGGCATTCGAGTAGTCCTGTGAGCCCGCCATACCAAGTCACTCAGGGACGTACATTTACTTGTTCTGCTTCTCAGAAAGGAGTTATATTTGATTTTACATTTGAAGGAATTCTGTTCCAATGCGTGTGATACCAGTGTGCTAACCATCCTTGTCAACGTTTCCCAGGCAACGTTTGGAGGACCTTCGTTCATAATGCTCACAGCATTTGTGGGTTAGCTGTCGTATAACTGCATATTTATGAATAAATACTGCAGCAGAGTTTCTCATAGCTTCCTTTAGTGTAACGACGCTTTTCTCTGACTCAAAAAAGGGGATTAAATCTCAAATCTGCGTAGAAATCTTCATGAGTACGTATGATAAAAGTTTGCTTAGCATAATTAGACGTAGCATGTGTTCCAAAGTTCTAACTTTCTGTAGGTGAACTACAAAACTGGATTAATCTCCAAGTTACGTTAGGAAGAGTGAAGAACAACGCAGGCACTACTAGTTTGCCGTCTGTTTAATCCATAATTAAAACGAGTACAACAGTGCTACCGTGGGTAAAGACAATAGGGAAGAAACCGAAGACAGATGAAACATGCTCGCCGGAGAGAAAGTCCAACTAACTGCCATTATTTTTCTTTCTCATCTCTAGGTCAGCATATTGTTGGAACCCCAAACTGTGGTCCCAGACGGCAGGCGAAAGTAGTGCAAATCTTTTATTTTTACAACAAAAGACACTAGTTTTGAACCATGATTGACACCGATGGTGAGGGTTACTCGCTAGGGAGAACGGAGGAATGCGGCACACGTCGCAATCAAGCGATGAAGAGCAGCCGAGGCGCCGTGCAAAAATCGGTGCTGGGTTCAAACAGACGAAATCGACATGCAACTCAGTATTCTGCACCGACTGCGCAAGAGTACAAAGAGGCGGTAATTTCAGTTCGAACTTCTGACAATAAACTGGGAAACCGAGTAATTCTCTAAACTTCTAAAACTGTCAGTGCAAAACGTAGTTGCTGATGTTTACTGGGCTTCAACTCTCTGGATGAAAACTGGCCCTAAATATGGATCGTAAACACTATACAACTTACTGAAGAATTTCATTTGTTGTGTTGCATAGAATCTTAGCTATTTACTTGGCCATAATGAATATTGAGTATAAGTAATATCGGTTTATGATCCCTTAACTAGGAGCGTAGGTTGCCTGACCCACCGTAGTCCTATGACGAGCAGCCTAATTTCACTTTTTACAGATTATGTGATGGCATGTGTAGACTGGTAATTGCGGTGGCATTTGAAATCAGTGCACGTCCCAGGTAACCTGAAACAACTGAGAGCATGCGGTTAACTTTTAGAGTAGCCCACTGTTTTGCACTCATTAGTGCTGTCATCATTGGTAATTGACGAAGCTCTCAAGGAGGTTCTGCATGATCAGATGACCAGTAACAATTGTCATCGATACCAACGATCCGTAATCCTGCATTGAAAATGTTGTACCTTGCAGTGCGCAGGCTTATCAGATGCCCGACACATGAAGCGCGTTTCACAAGGTCCGATGTTAAAGAGATAAATACACGACCAATTCTAATTTAAACGATGCGAACGTCAATCGATTGGAGATGGTTAAACATATGTATGAATGAAACAACCATTCTCCGATTTTTCGTCTGTAAAAGGATCCATAAAGCTCCAAACAACAATCGTGATAAGGAGTTGGAAGGCATTGTGAGCTCAACCGAACTACTATGCAAGAGATACCCAATCAGCCCACACACCCGTCGCACAGCAGGCTTCCACGCCTTATTCCTCACTCAAATTCCGTTTCAGCTTGTGGTATATCTCGCTTGATTTGTCAACGAAAATTGCAACTGCATTTGTATCACGTGCACATCTCAGCACTGCTAATGTCTACTTTGAGTGACACTACTGACCGGCTTATCCTGTGGCACCGTGTACGATGTGTTCCACATCTTCTCAGAATAGGTCCAGCTAGGTTTCTGTTACTGAATGAAAATTGTGCCTTATTTCACTTGGCAAGTCAAAAAATGGCTACCGGACTGATTTCTTGGTTACGTATGCCAGTCACTTATTTCACTGGACTCATATGCTGAGAATAGGATTCTTTCATCTTCTCGAAGAAAGTCGCGAAAAATATCCGTAACGGCCTTTCCATTTTTGCGCAGAAAAGAAGTTGCTGCTAATAAACAGCTGGAAGAAATTAGGTAAGTCTTGTTGGCTCAACCCAATTTGTTTATATTCAGCTATGTCGAACTCACAGATATCTATGAACTATATCAATTTTTATGATGATTTTTCTGGTCCTGTTTGTACAACTTGCATTAGTGTACTTGGCACTGCGTTTTGGACTCCATTAGAGAATCAAATGATTCACACCACCAGTATAGTAAGGTAGATTATATGTCAAAACGTTTTTCGTTTGTGATAACATGAACACCAGAAGCGTCTAGCCACCAAAGCTGTGTGACTCGTCACTGCTACTGAATTTGGAGCCGCATTCAACCGACCGGTGTAATACAGGTAGAGTTCTATTTTACCGCAGTCGGTTAGTGAACGTTACTAAAAACGGAACCATTTTACTTTTAGCGAAAACGATTATCTTTATGTGCGACCCGATACACGGAAATGAGAAGTAAGTGATTCATGTTTGAGCTCATCTTATGTGAAATGGAAGCGCTATTCACTGGTTAAACATTCCATACCATTTTTGCAAGTTCCAAAATCGTTGATACATAAAACGACAATTTTTCAATAAGCAGATTTGCTCGCTTCGTACATCCGGGTAACTTCACCAACGCCGTACAAACATGTCTTATCTGTTTGCTAATATCATGACTAGTAAAGAAGCGACCTCTAATTATAAGCTGTCTGAGTTTGCCCATTATTTCTCGGACTTTTTTGGGCCGGAATGGATCACAGAGCGCGCGGTGCTACAGCTGAGTCTGACGTATTGGTTAACAACGGAACGATGCGCAAATTGGAACCGGATGGCCCAAAACAGTGTGCCAAGTGAAAAACTATTATTTTAGTGACAGTGCCGCAGTTGTCATTTCTATCGGCTTAGGCGTTATCTTGATTACGATATCAGGTTGACTATAGTGAGGCATGTCTCGGATGCTTTGAAGAAGCCCAAAGAGTGGATAAACTTTTAGTCCTTAAGTACGGATCCTGACAATCAAACCAACGATTAATCGTTGCTGAGTCACAAATCGGGCTTCTCAGGGCAAAACAGCTTGTCATGATATTACCCAACTTAAGGATAGTCATGACGCACTGGTCATCCAAGCAATTTTGACAGAATCCCGATAACGCATCAGCCCGCTTCCCGGCCATAACTTCACCTAATTATAACCGAATTTTACTGACTCCCGGGTAATTATCAACACGCAGTCAAATCAACTACTTAAGCAAAATTGCTGGGACGATGAGAGCAGGTGCACATCCTGGAGTAGGTAAAATAGAATGGCGGTGTGTGATAGGGATATGTTATTCTTGTTGTGGTTGTAGGGCGTTGGCCACTTCGTCGGTGCCTTGTGTCTTGCCGTCTGCAGTGATAAGTGGGGGGATGATACGCAGTAGTTCATAAATGAATGTTGTCACGCCTATACAGCATTTTGTTGCTGGCCTGAAAAATTCAGACCAGGCACTGCTGAGAACTAACGTCGTCCTTGTGGGGCGGTGTGGTACAATAGGTTTACATGATCAGGAATTGCAACCCCAACGTTTCGGGGTTAGACTTTTGACCTCGTAAGTAAGCCAAAATGCATCTTCACTTCTATACAACCGAGTTCTGCTTAAGTAGAATAATTGGGCCATTGTGGAATAAAACTATCCTGATTCCGGACCCCATTGTAATTGTATGACTAAATCATCCAGCAAATCTGCCTTCACACTGTCATGTTTGTAGCACTTCAGAGTGCAAGCCTCGCGACTCTTGTTATGACGTGATTTCGCGTGATTTCATGTTCACGTAGATATGCTGCACAGTGAAAATAGTTAAGTGTTGTGATTACATGAGCGCTGGGTCCTAATGGGCTTTATATCACTAGCATGTCAATCCTAAGCTCTTCATTTGTGAGCACAAGGTCCAGTAACAACGGTTTCAATTGTATCTAGAATCCTCTAGGCAATGTAACATCGTTGCACAAGGGAATGCCCGCGAAGAATTCATGCAGGTCGGACATTGCTTGGGGAAGTTTTATGTCAAGAGCGAAGTATCGTGCGGTCACCAAATGCATTGCACCGTCATGCCTCAATCCTACTGAAATGACGACTTCCCGATCGGTTCCAAACATCATGCAGATCGTTTTAGAACTATTTATGTACGCATATGCCTCCAGATCGTGTTCATTGAAATCAACTGCGACGTGGATATGACTATATTTAGTGCGTGTTACCATGCTCACGACGAGTATTAAGTGGGAATTCATCGTCGAATTGGCTGCAGTGACGGGGCACACATAGTTGTGTATTAACTGAGGATGACTCCGGAGTGAGTCGGCGACAGAAGTTTCCGGATCATCCACCTTCTTATATTACAGATAGCTGCGACCTTATCGAAAGAGTCAACTCTCCTGTTTAGATTGTTGTTTCGGATGAGTAACACTATTCGTGTCTCTAACTGTGCGCCAGTAAGGAAAATATGACCCCGAAATTTGCGACCTGACCTGGTCGATGTTCAGAAACTTCTCTGAAGATCCCTTAAGCATGAGTGGACTTGCATGAAATTCACCTATACTTTAAAAGCGTATCGGATTAGGTCCACATCCGAGGTTCAGCGAGCTTGATGGGATGAATTGTACATTGGCATGTGCACATGAGATATTCCTTCGTCTCAATAGCGTGTCGAATGGCATGCTTTCTCCGGGTGCAGTTTCTCCGACCATTGAAATATCTGCCGCCTGTGGTGCCTTATTTGAAGTATTGACGAATTAAGTTGTAAAATCCACCTGTGTGTTTTCTGTGTTTAATCCATATATGTAACGAATTTTCTTCTGCCTATTATTTCAGCCCCTTGCCATATGATTTTATTTGTCTGGTTGAGCGAAGGTTGTGAACAAGTTTGTATGTGCATTTGTTTACGTTGTTTGACTTGCTTATCCCCGACTTCAGAATCTACCCTTTTGCGATTGGTATACCCCACTCCAATATCCTTTACCTCATGTTTTTGATTGGAGATCTATCATATGTTTTGCAACCTGAAGTTCTTCGTAGCCTAATAATAGATTGTTCTAAGTGGTTTCTTTCGAGAAGGTCTCGCAAATCCAACGACACTACTCTAAGTAGTGGTTTATTTTTTCGCCTTCGCCGTGTCTTCAAGCCGCTTAGATTTTGTGAACAGAGATTATCATAGCTGCGGACTCAACCCGATAACCTTCCTAGCTGTGGACTGCTCCAGTTTTAATATGAAATGGACCGAAGACAGACTATTACGATGACTTGTCGATATCAGAGTCAGTCTCATTTCAGCAACGGAATCCAGCACAACTCGGAGAATTCTCGTTTCAACTTAGCTCTTTGAGTTTTAGTGACGGGTTTTCCGATTCAGGTGTGCCGACTTAACCACAACGCTTAGGATGTTGGAGGTAAAGTTGCGATGACACCTTATCATTTTGCTTTCATTTTAAGACATTCGGCATCTATTCGGGATCAGTGGTGTAGCACAGGTGCTTTCTTTCATGCAGCATGGATGTAGGTCGACTGCTTATGGTCCGCTGTATTCCAAGTACTGAATATACGGAAGCTGAACTTTACTTTCCCAGTTTGTCGTGGATCAGATAGAAGGAACTAAAATCTTAACTTTCCAGGTGCCGTGGGAGCAACCACGGGACAACTATCACACGGCAACAAAATTGCAACGGTCGGTTACTGAGGTAGACGAATGGCTAGACGTAGTAATCCCGATGGAACTAGAGGTGCTGGTTTGGTAGTATCTGGACTATGGGTGATTGGACACCTTGTCTAATGTGTGGCACGTCTTATTGGGGAGGCATACGCAGTGCTTTCCCAAACGCTTCAGACTGCCAAAAGGATCATGACACTCATAACTTGCTCCATTGTTACCGCCAGTTTTTCATGCTTTTGTGGCAATTATATATGATCTTGCCAACAGGATGGCCGTATAAATCGTGCAAAACAGGGAAGCGTATTTTTCCAATGTCAAGCCTCACCTGAATTGGCACAGTTTAACACATTTTGGGAAGGTAATCAATGCGGCAAGTAGAATATGACATCATTATTCTACTATTTCTGCTGCGGGATTGAGATCCACAGACGCTTTCCACGGACATATATCTTTAGGTATGCCGTCTTTAACCATTTAATACAACTCATCTAATCAAGCTTCGCTTGTTTTTTAATGCCTCCCGAATCTTAAGTCCGTAGTGGATCCCTTGACTCCTGCACAAAATTAGTGCGTTTTACTGTCGTTCCTGTCCTTTGTTACACGTTCACTTGGCGGGCTCTTAGAGCGGCTCGTCTGCAGCGTGAATTGCCGAGTATTATATGCAAGATGTGTAGGATTTATCTATCGCAGACAAGTCACTTTGAAATGTGTATATCGAGCCCGACGGCTACCGGGCAAGAACACACAAAGATTTTGCTAGTCTCTCCACTTGACATTCGAGAGGTATGATTGTGAACGCGTTGGGTTTTATCAACCCTGCTACTTTTCAGTGCATAATCTGTGCTTTCAGTAATGGTACAAAACATTCAACAAGGAGTTTTTAGGTGCTCGCCTTAGGTTAAATCCCCAACCTTGGGTGAACGAAATAGCATTCGTCGTCGTGGTTCAACTGAGTGTTGTTACGCGTTTGTGATGCAGAATAATAGTAAATGCTGGCGGACTACGAGAGCAGCAACTGATGACTGACTGATGATCATAATAATAACACTCTGCGCGCTTAGGTTTTTCCGTGCAGCCACTTCGATTTGCGCTCGTCGCTTTTGTGAACCTCCTCCTCTTCAAACTTCCGACTGCACATTCAGATTACACTCTTTCGGGTCGCACTAATTTGCGTTGTCCTGTGAGCAAACTTGCAAGGAATTTTTTTCCATAGTGTAATTTCTGCAAGTCAAGATGTTTTACAACCCATGTGCTCAAACCTAAGCGTAAAAACTAATCGCATTTTGGTTGCCTAACCAAGCGGATTAATGTGCTCGATAGAGCAATCACTAGGCCATCAGTTAAGCCCGGGTAAGTTAG